CAAAATGTTAACTAAAATTAAATTTATAATAATGATTTTATTATTTCTTCATATATTTATTATTGTTACATGTTTTTGATTATAATTAAAATGTAAGATCTTAAGAATAAATTTTAAACGAATATGAATCATACTTATTTCTCCTGCAAAAAATGTTAATTCATTTGCTTCTGCAGCTTCAAAATCATACAAAGCACGGACCTTCCTGCCTTCAGAATTGCTCAAAGTACCAAGTGCTGAGCTTACATTAGGGTATAAACTAGTATTTTTCTTGGATGCTGGTGAACTATGCGAAGAAGATGCTTGACTATGAACTTTACTTTCTTTAAGTGAAAGTTCTATGGCTGAAAAAAAGTAATCAATTTAACTTGATAGTTCTTGCAGAAGAGATGGGCATATATTACTTAAAACTTTCAAAAATACCTTTTGCAATATCTTCTTCTTCTTGTGAATCTGTTACTACATTTGGGTCTTTATTTAGTACAGTTGTACGTTTAGGCTAAAAATGTAAAACATATTTATTAAACACAAAGAGTTATTAGTTCATATATCTTGACAAAAAAAATCTACAAAAAATAAGCTAACACTCTACATAAATATTTTCACATGGTTCAGTGAAATAATTATTCACTTGATGAATGATTGCAGGAAAAACACAGCAGGACGTCAATATGATAGCCTTATCTTGCTACTATTTAAATAAGAGACCATACATGCAGTCATAATACACATTTCGCAGTAAATAAATATCTTATAAGTGAATTCACAAATAAGAAGACTTACCGTGTCCGATATAGAAGTGAAATCATAACCTTCATTTTTAAGTTTGTTGAACAAACTTGGAATTAAATTTAGCTGAGGATCGGTTTTAAAATCACCTTCAGCCCATTTTTTTAAAAGTCCTCTCATTCTCTCAGCAATCTTTGGCTCGGAATGGTTAATAAGTTTCCTCAGATCATTTTCAAACTCTCTTGATGCAATCTCCAAGTGAAATATTTTTCCACAATTGCTAACACATGCATCTAACAACTAAATAGAAATTTAATATTAATATTTTGAATGTTAGTTACAAAAATTTATGAAGTAAATGGTAAACTAACTGTCAGTGCTTGCATAACAATATGTGGATCTGGAGAACATAATCTCTTAACAATTGATCTTAAACAATCCTTAGCATTTTGGGTAGAGAATCCTACTTTGTCACAAATATCCATTATTTTTCCCCATTCTTCAGATATGTTCTTCTCACTGGTTGCCTTCTCTATTGCAACAAATTAAGAAAAATCATATAATAAAACTTTTATTTATATAATTCAAATTCTATATCAAATCATTAATTGATATTTTAAAACTATAATATAAAATTCCTTTGTTTAAAATTATGAACTAAAGGAAATAATGAACAGTATTACTAAATATTTGAAGTGTATGAACTATAAATATCTACAGTAACTTGTTTTCCTTTTGTTAACAACTCTACATAGTGACATTGTTAAATGTCAATTTTATTAACATTTTTTGCAATAAACGTTAACTTTTTAACGTATAGCATAAATATTAAAATGCATTGCTTGTATCCAACATTCAATTAAACAGAAATCTGGCTTTGTACACGAGTGAATTCCAAGAAACAGACGGTTAATAACCACGGAGTTTCAAGATTTTAATGCCACGAATATTTTCTTCATCATGATAAATGAATATTTTCATAGATGTAACATGAATAATCTGTTGAGGCGATACAAAAACAGAGTTGAAATATTCGCAAAATCTAGTGTCTTAATTGGAGGTCAAATGTCAACAACCGCTTAATACATCCATCAAATGTGGAATTTCGATATCGTGTGAAAAATACACCAGATTGAACGTGTACACGGAAAAATAATGGGTGAGAGCTGTCATCGAGAGATAGATCTTTTCGTGACATTAGAATAATACGATACAGAGCGATCGTTCTAAATGAATTAAGGCTAAAGAGAAGTCTACCACTCACCGACGTCAGCATCGAAAGGCGAAGAAGTCTGGAAAAGGCCCATTTTCGCCGAATTAAATTATTTAAATGGTGTATGTTCGACAGTTACGTCCGTTACGCGCTGTCACGGAATCACGTTATATTTTCTCTACGCATCCAGCTGATATTTACTTATAAACACGACACCGAATGACTAATAACATTCTAATCTACCATCGAGGGACATCTTTCTTTCGACCTGCCAAAAAAACCTCGATACTATCGAACCATCTCGAGCGTAATGTCAAACGAGACAGTTTTGTGTCGTAAAATTTACGATTAACTCATGAATTCAGCGCACAATCATCGAGAAATCAGATAAATCACACACACTTTAAAAGTTTAAATTCACAAAATGATTAATATTACGATAATTTACGCAGTTTGTGCCTTTTTAAAAAAGATATTGAAATGAACATCGACAATCGATACATCGTAAAATGTTACAGTTTGCTTCTGCCATCTAACGACAATGCAAAAAGCTTTTTTGCGAAAACACTATTCCTCTATTGATGGTAAAACTGAATGATATATGCACAGGCGAGGTGCAGTCAGAGACAAGATATAGGCACAGACGACGTACAAGATAGACCTAACATTTTATGGGACATTGTGTCCGCGACGCTGGGGTCAAGAAGACTTTTACCATTTTCGTGTCGCTTCCAACGTTACCGATTCAGTATAGAATAAGATTACAACAATGTAGTGGTTGGAATTAGAACTAAACGTAACTACGAAATTACGAATTATGATGGGATAGGATATTATACATATACTCGTACACGAAGTATAGAATTCTATACTTCTAATTGTATAATATATATATTTATGTTAGTCTAAATTACGAGATTTTTTTGATTTTTTCGATTATTACGCTTTCTTAACGATATCCGAACTTAGTTGATTTAATTTTATAATGGAATATTATTTAAAGAATAAGTGTTTCACATTATTAAGTTAAAGCATACAATAATTTTATTTAAGACTTCCAATAATTATAAACAACCATATAAATTGTTTTTTGACAAGAAGAATTATTCGATAATGAGAGTAGTTGAAAATAAACTGTAAACTTTATTTTACTATCTGCGTTATAATAAATGTTAAAACAATCGAAAATTGATTATAAGTATCAATTAAATATAATAGTGATCACGAGGATATCACTAGAGAAATGTGTTAGACAAAGAAAGTAATAGGGATAAACAAGGATAGCACTGCAGTAACGAGTTAGACAAGGATAGAAATTTTTTTGAACCGAAAGTAACGCTATATCATGTTTGGTGACGCGAACTACGACTTTTCAATAGGAACACAGAATATGAACAGAGGTATTAGACAAGGAAAACACTAGTGTGCGAGAAGGACAGAGAGAAAACGCTTCCTATTGGCTGGCGGACCGCCATTCTCCATCTCCCACGGGCTAATCAAGTCGGTCAGGGAAAAATCATTAATAACTCGATAATTAGGATGATTTTGTAAACTTTTAGAATTGAAGAATGAAGTGTAGACCTTTAGCAACTTTCTCATGTACACTCTGTTGTATTAAATCCTCTCAGTAATTAGTTATTAACAATTATTGTGTGCAGTGTCGGCAGCAGTACCTCACACCCTTCCGGTTTTTCATTAATTTTGTAGCTTTTTACAAATAATTTATGCACTTTTATACATGCGTTTGAAAAGCTATTCCTTTACCTAGTTTCTCGTTAAAGATTCATTAACATATCCGTCGTAATTTGCGAAATATTAAATATTATTTGGGCAAGTATTATACTCGTCGCATTCAAACGAAACCCATTTCCGTCATTTTCATGAATAAGCGGGATAAATGGTGTACTTTTAAGCATCTAGAATGTAGTATAGCCCTTTTGCTATATTCTGGAATAATTTTGGAATGTGTATCTGATGCGGTTCATTAGGTATTAGCAATTGTTTATAAAAGTTGAGTATACTCGAATACGATGAATAGGGGACTCTTCCATATAATGTTTAATACCTCTTCAACTAAACCGAATATGTTAATAAAAATTATATGAGAATGTAGCCAAAGGAGTTACCTTTTAGATACATCTACTTGATTATACGAGAATTTAGTAGAAAGCTGTGAAATTATTGAAAAACCGTAAAGGTACGCGGTATCGTTCCCGACATCGCATACTAAAATTGTTAATAACTAATTATTGAAAGGGGTTAGGGCACTAAAATCGATATAAGAAAGTTGGTGAAGGTCCACACTTCATTCTTCAATTCTAAAAGTTTACAAAATCATCCTAATTATCGAGTTATTAATGATTTTTCCCTGACCGACTTGATTAGCCCGTGGGAGATGGAGAATGGCGGTCCGCCAGCCAATAGGAAGCGTTTTCTCTCTGTCCTTCTCGCACACTAGTGTTTTCCTTGTCTAATACCTCTGTTCATATTCTGTATTCCTATTGAAAAGTCGTAGTTCGCGTCACCAAACATGAAATGGCGTTTCTTTCGCTTTGAAAATTTTCTGTCCTTGTCTAACCCTACTCCTTTCCTTGCTTAACTCATTTCTGTATTGCTAAATACCTGGATGAGTTATCCTTTGTGGTAAGCACGACTACTGATGGTACATCACCATCTTCCATTAAGCATTACATAAAAATTAATCATGCAAATTTTCTACTACATATTGAAATAAAAAAAATAATAAAAATTTTGAAGTTTCAATATATTAGAATTACAGACGGGGGTACAGGATAGACCTAACACCTAATGCACTTTCTTGTCCATGTCAGGAGGGCTGAGAGTGCCCTTACCATTTTCATGTCGGTTTCAAAGTTACCGATTCAGCATAGAATAAGATTGCAACATTAGTAGTGGTTGGAATTAGAACTAAACGTCAGGATGAAACTACAAATAAGGTGTATTTCGCTATAACAAACTTGTGCAACGAATAAAGAAATGTGAGGGTGATTGTGAAACAGTCTTATGAAAAAGAGTAGTGAGTTTATTGTGGTTTCGTAGATAATTTTTGCCTCATGCATCCGAACCTTGGGAACAGACTTGCAGCATATAATTTCTGAATAATATACTCAAGGGTGTCATCATGTTTATACAATTGCAACGAGCCACCTTTGTGCTTGTTGAAAATTACCTTGATATTATATAGTAATAATAATATTTAAAATTTATTTTTAGTTTATGTTTTGTGAAATGTGTGTAATTGCATAAAGTGATATCAGGGTACCACTGGGAAGAATCGAAATGACGAGAATATTTTTATTTAAATTCACTTCCTCTCCTTTTCGTACGGGTGAAACGCTTTTTAATGAGATTCATGTGTACGCACCTAAAGAAAAACCTATTTTCCCATCCGCGATATTCATATACGCAATACTTTTTTTTCATGAGCCGTTTCACTCTTCTGAGATGTCTCGTATGTGATTACCGTACGAACATTGCGTTCCCTTACGTAATCCATAACTCTCTTAATCTTTAAAT